CTATGAGTCAGTGTGTGCCCTTAATATAGGATTTTCTAAGTTAATATTTCTATTAATAAGTCAATTTCTAATTTTAAACTAACTGTTGCACAGTTCTTTGTTCATTTAATCAAGACTGATGAGACAGTGTTGCAGTATTCACATGATTTCCTTACAGCAAGTAAAACAATTAGCACAAGGTAAAAATGCAAGAGATTAAATCTTCAGTAATTCAGTATACAATATATATTTTTTAAGGCTGGATTCACTTGTCTTATTTTAGTCACCTTGAGGCAACAGAACAAGCTGAAAACATTAAAATATTAACAGATCATCACCTTTTAAAGTTGATATGACTAACCTGCTTTCCAACGTTTGCTTAATTACACATGCAGCAAACAAAAAACTAAATCAGCATTCATTTGGAGTCTTTTGGAGTTTGAATGATGTATCTGGTCTGGGTGCTGAAAAATGTAACAAATGTATATTGCAGAGTTTATTGTTAGGCATTTCATATTTCATAATTTGATGGCAATTAGCAGTAAACTATAAGTAGTAGATCTGAGGCGAAAATATAAAACCATCTTCTTTAAATATCTCCATCTACTCCCCCGTCCCTCCCTCAACGACTAAACCTGTGACAGTCAAGATATGAAGTAAATCTGATTCTAAACTGGGTTCAGCTTCTGAACACAGATTCACTATTAGGTATTAGGTATTAGGTAAGTAGTTAATGTCAAACAGTGACATTATTTAGCCTTTTGCAATAAATGATTTGCTTAAAATTTTTTAAAGACTATTAATTATATCTCAAGGACATGCTAAAAAGCAATAGTAAAGATAATGTATGTGTATCACTTTTGTGAGTTCTGGATTTTTGGCCTAAGTCTCTCCCAGGAAACTCAGGGACGTCATCTAATTCGAGAAAGGGAAAAGTCACTCATGAGGGGAGGATTATGGGATTCTGTTCTGTTCTCTTATTAAAAGTTCGTGTACCAGCGCGCGCGCGTGTATACGTGTGTTTTGATGGGCTAGTCTCTCAGCGATAAGGATTTTGGACAGCGTGGGGGTTGAGCAACACAGGCCTGGCCTTTAACCACTGGCAAGCACGGAATTTCCTTCCTCTCATGGTCCGAAAAAAAAAAAAGCCTTTATAAATGGGGACTCTGTTCCGCATGTTCTTCGGATCGTCGAACACAGGCGTTTTTTACCACCACCGGCAGCTTTTCTAACATCGCCATCATGATTCCTCGAACAAACGCACTGCTTATTTGTGTGGTTTTCCTCTGCGGACTGGAGGAAACGGTCCTCTCTGGGCGCGGACATTGCACCGGGAATCAATGTTTTGCGCTTTTTCAGAAGCCCGATGACTTTCTAGGCGCACAGGAAATCTGCAAAACGTTTGACGGACAGTTGTTCGTGTTCAACCTGGAACACTTACGGAAGATATTGAGGAGTTCACCCAACGGGCTCAGCGGTAGTTACTGGCTGGAGCTGCACAGCGCCGGCAGGACAACAGAGGAGGCCGTGGCAGGTCTCCAAAACTGCTCCTACATCTCCGGACAGAATTCCACGGTGTTGTGGAAGCCGTGCCGTGAAAACCTGGACGGATTTCTTTGCCAATATACATTCGAGGAGAATTGTAGTATCTTGCAAGCAGGCGGGGGCGCACAGATGAAGTACACCGCGCATATGGGCTTCGAGGTGAACGATTCGGAAACGTTTCCATTAGGAACCATCGCGGAAAAGGCTGGCGGCAAATATCCCGACTCTAGGTATTTGTGTTACTCGAACGGTTGGTTGCGAGCTCCCTGGAACTGTGAGGTGCTGCGGGGCGGCTGTGAATACAACTGCAATTCCACAACACACACCTGCACCTGTCCCGCAGGGCAAACTCTGCACCCCAACAACATCACATGCACCACAGATCCCTGCGCAGACTGTGCGCACGAGTGCCAACAGGTGGGCGACAACTACGTGTGCACGTGCAGGGAAGGCTTCGAGCTGGCGCAGGACATGAAGCTGTGCGTGGACGTGGATGAGTGTAAAAAGGACCCATGCACGGGTGAGGGTGAAGAGTGTGTCAACACCCAGGGGGGGTTCGAGTGCCGGTGTAAAGATGGCTTTGAAGAGGAGGATGGAGTGTGTGAGGATGTTGCAATCTGTGAGAAGTGTGAGCACATGTGGTGTCAGAAATTCAATGGGGTATATAAGTGTGTATGCAAGGAGGGGTTCAGGGTGTCACCATTAGACCCCACCAAGTGTGAGCAGCACTGCACTGAGAGAGACTGTCCAGCCAATTGCGTCGAAAATCAGTGTTTCTGCCCCGATGGCTACATTCAAGACTCTGACGATGGCATCCCCATTTGCACTGACATAAATGAATGTGACAATGAGCAGGAGTGTGATCACAAGTGTGAAAATTTATTTGGTGGTTACAGATGTTTGTGCAATGAGGGGTTCAAGCTGCACAATGAGCACAGGTGTTTACCCACAAGTGAGGAGGAGGAAGCGGAAGGATCAGGCTCACCTTCTCCATTCCCTACACCAGCCGGCGCTCACCCAGCCGCAGTGCCCTCTTACATCAAGACCGGCAGCGTCCTGGGGATCACCGTGTTCATGGTGCTGTGTGCGGCGCTGCTGTTTTACTTGATCCAGAGCACAGCCAAACGTTGCGGCAAATTTCAGCTTTCCTCCTTCAAACACCCAAATATCGACATTTTCTACCTGCAGCAGGTGACCACAGAGACCTACAAGAGGTTATCCTTTGACAAACAGTTAAAAAACGACTTTCAAATACCTTCATCACACCTATGAGGAAATGTGCTGCTTTTCGACCTTCTCATGTCACATTGCGCTTGTTTTCTTTCCTCAGAGATGTCAAATGTTCAGAATGGGACCTTTTCACAGCTATGCAGTCTTATAATGGGAAACCATTTTTTTATCTTTAAAAGCTGCAACCAGTCATATACTGTGCAGTCATAGTATCAATCATAGCAGTGAATGCATACAATGGAGATATGGGATGTTTTCTGAAATACAGTAGATTTCTATATGAAATTGTTATTCAAAATCACACCCTCAAATTCATTTTAATAGTTAAATAGCCAATTTGGGAGTTTATCTAGCCTTACAAGTAAGATGCTGTTAAACGGAAAGTGTAATGGTAATGGTTTTATTCACTTTGTTGCTTACTTACTACACTGTGAGGGGTTTTTTTGTTTGTTTTTTACGTAAAAGGGAAAACACATTGTACCTTGGACTTTGCGTGACATTTTCATTTTGCATATCGCAAATTAATGTAACATTCCACATATTGATTGTAATATCTGGGTTTTTTTTTTTTTTTTTTTTAGTTAAATCATTATGGTTTTTATCTTTAGGTAAAATAACACTTTAAAATGATGCAAAAAAAGTTCTCTTTAGTCAATGTAGGCTACATTAGTTTTTCCTAGTGCTTTTCTGTGTTACACTGGCACAATGACTCGTCACTAATGTTTACTAATGAAATATATTACATGGCTTATGATATTTGAGATAGATACACAGTATCTAGTTCTGAAGCCGAACATTTGAGATATATTGATTGCTATGAGAACTGATTCTGATGCATTTTAACTCATGGCAGCGTGTATTCAGGCTTTATGGACCATTTTCACATGCATAGATCTGATGCGTGTCATTCCAAAATGACAAATCTACATTCTGCAATGTCCAATGTGTAGTTTATGTGTAAACCTAAAGGTTAGTGGCATTTCTGGGTACACACTGGAGAAAAATTCCACATTCTGTTCCATCTGAACACTGAATCATGATGTACAGGGCAACGTTTCATTCTAAGACATTATTCTATATACACTGCAAATACTGCCAAATAAAACAGCTACAGGTCAGTTGGCTCATGTGCATCAGAACATTTGTAATCTAACGGAATTACATGTTACCATATTCACTGACCATCCTGACGTGCTGTACATGGCTACCACTGACACGAGGTTGAATGTTCTTAACTTTATTGTATAACTGACTGCTCTCGGAGCCACAGAAGCTGCTGTCAACTAAACATGAATGTAAAAACTGTGCTGCTATGGTCTACATATAGGAAAACCCATTTTCACCTCATGATATGCTCAGCCACCACATGTCTGTATAACAGGCTTATTGTAAGCTTTCACTTGTTGCAGTAGCCTATTTGATTTTTTGTTGGTTAATATCTCACTATTGAATGATAAATAAAAAAACTAAAAGCTGGAGATATGGGTTGTATTGCAGTGTTTTCTTTTTTGACATGAAACAATAATAAAAATAATACATTTTCTACTATTTTATTGTAAGTTAGTTTTTAATCTTTAGGTGCTTTGATGCATCTAATGAAAGAAATCAATGTAAATCTTCGTTAAAATGACTTTGCTGTTCCTGTTCCTCTTTCTCCGCTGGCTGCTGTTAACTTTGCACTCAAACTGCATAGCTTGTGTGAGACTATACTACTAGACCACTATATTCATACTATTATAGACACTGTTCAGAGCAATTTGTAGTAAGGGCAACACTTGAAGCATGATCAACATTATAGAGGCAGTGAGGACTTGGATGGAAAGTGTGTGTATATCTTACCAACTACCATATCAAATCATTGAACTGGCTGCATTCCATATACTAGCACACACACTACACAATAAGGGAGTCAATGTAACACAAAATATTAATCTTTACAATTAGATACATTTACTTCATCTATATTGTCGCACCTTCTTCCATATTCCAGCCTTTCTTTGAGATATATTGTTGGTCATGTGAAAATGTGTTGGGAAAGTTAGATTATGTCACCTGTCACAATTGTGATCTCGCTTATGAAGGAAAGCTGGATTTAAAGTCTGACCATGAGACTAAACGAGCTGTTTAGACTGACATTTTGTGTGGAGTGGAGCTGGGAGGGGCTACTGCAAATAGGGGGCGTTGGGCAGAGTCCCCCGCCCTTGCGTGCGCTCGGCTTCGGTGCGTACGTGCGTAAAAGCCGAGCGTAATGTGGGGATATGACTCGCCGTGCCCAGGAGAAAGTTTGTGAAGGGACTGTGAGCGAGCTGCCGGCTGAGTAAGAGCGGAACACTAACATGGATCTGGGGGGTTATAAATGCGAGCAAAATATTTTCTCAAACAATCAAGTCTACAGGCTGCTGGAACGCACAAGACCTTGAACGGACACAACTGAGGTTCAAACATGAAGGACGTTACGGGACTGTTAGTCGTTGTGTTGACTTCCCTGATGGGACAAGCCGGCGGGATAGAGCCGAATAGCGGATACTGCATCGGGAACCAGTGTTTTGCTGTGTTCCAAGATCCTAGCGATTTCACGACGGCGCAGGATCAATGCATGGATCAAGGTGGCCACTTGATGACAGTGCGCTCGTCTGTGTCAAATGATATTCTTTTAATCTTGTTGGGGAACATTACGGGGCGGTTCTGGATCGGCTTACATCTAACGACCGGCTGTCCAGACGCTGCTGCTAAGCTCAGAGGCTTCCAGTGGGTGACCAAAGACAGCGAAAGTGACTTTAACAACTGGACGCCAAGTTTTGACAGCAGCTGTTCTTCTCATCGCTGCGTCTCAGTTTCTCGAGAGGACGAGTTTAAATGGATCCAGGAACCGTGCGTTGGAGATGCTGCCGGGTTCCTCTGTGAGTACAGCTTCGGTGAGTCGTGCAAAAGTCTTGCGGTTGCAGACGGCGAGTCTGTCACCTACAGGACCCCTATGGGGTTTGGAGGCGAGGGTGTGCTTTCTTTGCCCACTGGGAGCACCGCTATCCGGATGCCAGCTAGGATTAAATACGTCTGCAGCTCCGAACAGTGGCTGCAGGCGCCTTGGAGCTGCGAGATAAACAACGGTGGATGCGAGTACAAATGCGCAGCAGGCCCCAAACATGTGTTCTCCTGCAGCTGCCCACCGGGGCAAGCCGTCAACCCTACAAATAAAGTCACCTGCGATGTGGCCACAGAGGACCCGTGCCTGCCCCTGCGGTGCGCGCACGACTGCCTCAAGAGCGGAGACTCCTACGCGTGCGTGTGTGACCACGGTTTTATGCTGGCGCAGGACGGCAGATCGTGCGTGGACTTCGACGACTGTATGGACAAGCGGCAGTGTCCCGGGGAGAACTTCCAGTGCGTCAACACCGTCGGCGGGTTTCACTGCGCTTGTAAGGAAGGATACAAGTTGACCGGCGGCCTGTGCATCGATATGGACCAGTGCATGTCCGCTCCATGTGAGCACATCTGTGTCGACACTCCGGGTAGCTACGAGTGCGCTTGTCATGAAGGATATAAAGCGGACCCGAAGTCGCCGAATAAGTGTAAACTCCACTGTGATGAGGACGAATGCGCCGCCGAGTGCGACCCGAATGACAGCACGCAGTGCTTCTGCCCCGACGGGTATTTATTAGACGAAAGGGATGACGGTTCATTTTGCATTGACATCGATGAGTGCTCCGGGAATTATTGTGATCAAGGCTGCAAAAACACATTCGGTAGCTATGTGTGCACATGCCTTCCAGGATATACACTAGTTGATCAATACAAGTGCGTGAAAAACGGTGATCATACGGACACAAATGAGCTGGAGGGCACCGAGGTGACCACGACCCCCAACATCCCCACAACACCACCTGTGCCATTCCCAGGTCCAACAAGGCAACCCTCAGCGGTGACAGTGGGGGGTCTTGTGGGGATTATAGTGTGCACCGTCTTTGTTATTGTGTTGGTGGTTTTTCTGGTTCATCGCATCGCAAACGGCGGAGGGAAGACGGAGAGCGCCGGAGAACTGAAAGCTCCGGAGGGCGAAGCTCACGGTTTACATCAAGTGACGAGTGACGCTTGAAAGAAAAAAACTAATAGCCTCGTAGAGACAGCTTAAAGCACGATATGTGAATGTACAGGTCAAGCTCACAGCAAAAAAGAAACAAGGACAAAAATGTGGCAATGCCTTAGCAGTAAAAGGTCACTGTAAACTCATAAGACAACAGAAATATTATACAAATATTATAATAAGATTTCTTGGAGGAAGGATATTCACTGCCTTGGAAGATTGTTTTTTTCTACCATAGGCCTACATCCCACATACAACAAATGCAATGTAATAAAAATGACACAGACCTTTGTTTGTACTGCAGCATTATTAAATTATACAAATGTAAACGAAGTCTATGTGTTTTTTCTTCCTGATAGCTCTCTGGGTGATTCTAGGCTCTGACACAGGCTGACTGCCCCACCACGTGGAAAATAAGTGAATGACAGGTCATCCATGCAGGGACCCTGCTGCAAGATGTGCTTCAGAACTTCCTATTTTTGGAAAAAAACACTGTTACAGGCACTCAGTTGCCTTCTATAATGACCCCTGTTAAATAATGTTCTCGACACGCAACAGTTTAAGTGGATGTTTTGGAGAGTAACATCTAACTTCACAACAGAATAGATCAAGGAATATAGTAAATTATGTTTTTTTAAATTGTAAAATCCATGTCATTTCATGCCACTTTGTACTTCTACTTTTTACTTCACTACATTCATCTGACAGCTTCAGTGACTAGTTACTTTACAGACTGAGATTTTTACACACAAATCTTATGAAGAGTTTAATAAATATGATGTTTTCTTATAAATGAAACTACTCAAAAGTTTATACAAGTACAGCTAGTACATTTGTTGACTGACAGAAATTTAACTGGTAACTGTTTTGGTTTATGGTTCCAGCTTCACAAATGTGAAGATTCGCTGCTTTTTCTTTTGATTATTTTAACGTAATTTTAATGATTTTGAGGTTTGGACTGACAAAACAAGCATTGTGAAGGTGTCACTAATTGTGACATTTCTAACTATTTTCAGAATCGATTAATGGAGAAAATTCTCAGCAGATTAATCCACAGTGAAGAAAGTCATTAAATGCAGTGTGACAGCCACAGTCACAGGGTTTTTCTGCATTGAGTACTTTTACATTTAATACTTTAAGTACATGTTCCTGATTAAACTTTATAAGACTTAAAATACTTTTACTCAAGTAACATTTTCAATACAGTACTTTTACTTGTAGGCCTTTTTAGCAGAGAATTGTTGCAGTGAGGTATTAGTAGCCTACTTTTACTGGTTCCTCTTCTTTTTCGATTTTAAAGACATTTGTGATGTCTTTAAAATCTTGCTCAGCCAGTTCAGGGTCCAAGTCACTTAAAGGGGCACCCTGACATTGTTCCCTCTCTGGTTGTATTGAATGTCGATATCTGTGAGACTAGCTCATGTTACACACACAGTTATTATTTTTAAGGCCCTCCTTCCACCTCCTGCTCCCACAGAGTCTAATTATGTTTCTTCTCATGTCCTCAATACCAACTCTGATGACAGCTTTCACAATGCCTTCACCACTGCATCTATACAGCAAAACCCCAATACGTCAACAGACGATTTACTAAATGACTTTAATAATACTTGTAAAGAGGTTCAGTTTTCCGTTCACATCATAGCACTGAAACTGCCCTCATCAAAGTGTGAACAACTTTTAACTAACAGCTGTTGCTGCTGATTGCTTGATTTGAATTCTTCTGGTTTTGAGCTCCGACTTCGACACTGTTGATCACTCAGAGCGCCACAGGAAGTCAATCCTGCCTGTGGCCATCAAACTATTTAACTTCTCCCTCAGTCACTGTCTCTTAGTAACAGACCTTGTAGGGCAATAACTGACATAATGTGCAATATTCTCTTATTAATTCTCAATGTGCAATATTCTTTTCTTCTGGTTACATAAAACAAATATTAAGTTAGTAGAACTCATAGGATTTATTTAAAAATGCTGAGTTGAAATTACTAAAAAAGAAAATTTTAAACTTGAGCCATTGTATTCTTTTTTCTTTTGCTTTTTTTTCTTGAGTGTAGTAGGGAGAGCGGGGTGATTTGAGCCTGTGAGGAAGTTGAGCCACCCCTTGTTTCTTGGCAACCAAAGAGAAAACTGGTGATTTCATGTGGCCACACATTTTTGAAGAATCCTTCATTTTACTCACACTGTGAGGGAGAGAGGCAGTTCAAAGTGATTATTTTTATGATTCATGATTCTAGCGCCCAAGCAATGGGCGCTACAAGGAAGTTACAATATGAGACTACAGTTCAATTCAATTCAATTCAATTTTATTTATATAGCGCCAAATCACAACAACAGTTATCTCACAGCGCTTTTCATAAAAGAGCAGGTCTAGACCGTACTCTGTGATGATATTTACAGAAGCCCAACAGTTCCCACCAAGAGCAGCACTAGGCGACAGAGGCAAGGAAAAACTTCCTTTTAAGAGGCAGAAACCTCGAGCAGAACCATGGCTCAGGGTGGGCGGCCATCTGCCTCGACCGGTTGGGGTGTGTGAGTGTGAGTGTGAGTGTGAGTGTGAGTGTGAGTGTGAGTGTGAGTGTGTGAGTGAGTGTGTGAGTGAGAGAGAGAGAGAGAGAGAGAGAGAGAGAGAGAGCAGCCTACACAATATACACACAGAGGTACAGACAGTAAAGGTGATGTTGCTATAGACTAAATGAAAAATGGTACAGATATTTATAGTAGTGTTAATGATAACAGTCGTAATGTTAATGATTATAATAACAATAATAATAATAGGACTAGTATCAATAGTCGTTGCAGCAGAGGGTGTCGAGCAGGAACACGGGGGCAGCAGGTGACCCACATCCACAGATCCAGACTCCACAGCTCCAGAGCCAGAAAACCTGCAGGAAGTGATAGGAGGAGAGAGGAGAGAGACGAGAAAGCACAAGACTACCAGAAAGGGGAGAAGTTGTGTTAGTAACATGCAATAATGGGATAAGGTTGCATACAGAGGGAGAGAAAGTAGAGGAGAGAGGAGCTCAGTGCATCATGGGAAATCCCCCGGCAGTCTAGGCCTATAGCAGCATAACTAAGGGATGGTTCAGGACTACCTGAGCCAGCCAGAACTATAAGCTTTATCAGAGGTGACTGGTGGACGTACTGTAGACGTTAGTTCTAAACTGCTGGATGACACATGTTTGTTCAAATGGCAGTGATGGGGTAGTTTGTGCTCCTCTTGTGGATTTGGACTGAGCAGTGATATGTCCATATGTCAGGTGGCAAGAGACATGACGATCAACAGGAGGACTTTAAAGCCATACATTGATATGAAACAACTACGAGACATATCAAAAACCTAGCTGCAAGTTTTCATGATCCAAGTGCAACGAAGTTTGAGCTGGTATTTGAGTTGGCATGACGAAATGACACTGATGTCCCTGACCCCCCTTGCGGCTGGCCTTATCCTCCCCCTGAAAATAAGAGACCACTTTCTTACTTTGGAAGGTCAGATTTTGAAAACTTTTTAGTGGTTATTCACAGGGATGCACCGCATCCTGATTTATGTGCACATATTTTAGTTCAAGACATTACAGTCATGTCATCACTTTAAAGACGCCTCACAGTAAAAACTGGCTCAACTAACCCCGCTCTCCCCTACTAGCTATCAGTGGTGAAGAGTTACAAAGTTAAAAGCTGGTAGATGACGCCAAAGATGGTGCAGCCCATAATATGAGGGCCAACTGCAACAGCAAGTGGAGGGATACAATGAGGTTGGTTTGGAAAGAGGAAGAATATAGCTGCTCATTTGGGACATTGCGACATTTCCTCTGTGTTGTCAGGCAGGCAGAAAATCAATGGCTTACACGTTTACTGGTCCCAGAGCTGATATTTATTAGCAACAGAAGTCAAACGGAGCGTGGTGGTCAGCAGGGAGGAGGTACCGACTGTGTTCACAGAAGAAACATTGTCCATTTTATTTCCCAGTTTGCACAACACCTCCACAGGTAAGACTTCCACTGCAAATTATAAAGAATGTTAAACACTGACGCGCTTCATTTGATCGGTTTCTAGAAAGTCGGCAAAAAGATGTAGGCTAGGCCAAGTTGTTGAAACACGTCCCTGTTGTTTCCAACTCGACAAACCCGGGCAAATGTTGTTAAAAAATAACCTGCATTGTGTAATCAGCCCTGAAGACAAATCTGTCGCGTTAGCCTGCCTTCTCAGTAATAAACCAGAGGCTGCTCCAAAGGTTTCTAGATATATTTAGGTGAAACAGCTAATACCGTGGGAATCATTTTAGGAAGATTCATGGTGACACGCAGGAAAAGTTCATGATTAAATTTATACACTTGGATAGGAAACACATGTGGAAATACCGCCCAGTTGGCTACGCACACTTTATCCCGACACAGTTTAAACGGGAGAAAGGCTGTACAATAAAATATCTTCGCTGCCATATAGAAATTGATGGCTCTATAATAAAATACCACAGTTATTAGAGTGGGGCGTTAAGTAGCCTGAGACCCAGGTTGTTAAAGGAAAACTCCAGCAGTTTATTTTCTTTAGTGAAGGGATTAACTGCTCTTTTTACTAGTTTTATCTGCGAAATAATCACTTGGATCATGATAAGGTAAAATCTGGATTATCCCGGCAATAAAATTTTAATTTAGCATGTGTGGACTAAACTTAGCAGCACTAAATTACTCATATTGCCAGACCTAATGTCAATGATCTGCACTGTAAACATTACACAAGGTGACCTGTCCCCCCCACGCTTTGTCATTGAATTTACTACTTTGTATTTACCCTCTGTATGAACTGTGTTACCTACATTTTTTAATACAGGAAAATGTATCATTTAACATCCAATTTTTTTAAAACATTTGTTTGGGACAGGAATGCCACAAGAAAGAGAAGTAAACCATTGTAGAGATGTCAATCTAAAGCATTTTACAGGCACATCCACTAATAAATATATCAGTATAGCCTATTATTATATATTATATTATATTAGTATAGCCTAGGGTGCAGCTGCAGTAATAATCACTGCAATATGACTCATTGTCATTGTTAGCTCAAGGCAAACATGTCAAATATTTGAATGGAGCTATTAATAAAGCTTATATCAGGCATGAATGGTTGTGTTCCCCCCACTAAATGCTTACATACTCAGTTGTCCTCACTAATAGTTGTACTGCTGAGGAAATGCACCAACATGGCATCCTTTAAGCTTTGCTAATTGTTCCCTTTCTCTTTGGACGTCTTGTTAGGGCGAGGACAGTATGTGGACACTGGCTCTTCAGTTGGTTTTCACTGGTTTGTACTTACAGGTATGTGTATAAAATTGAGGTCAAACTGATCAGCTGTTCTTAGTTTTTCCAAATCGAACAGTTAGACAGTCACCAGAAATGAAGTTTAAAAAAGATAAACCTAATCTGAGACTGACAAGAATTAAAGAAATAATTCAGTATTTTGGGAAAATATGCTTAGTCAAATTTAAAACATGCTCAGTATTTAGTTTCTTGCAGAGAATCACATGAGATGACCGATACCACTCTTAGACGTGAAAGTGAAAGACGTGAGAGTGGTATTGATCTGCAATCAGCAATAAAGCGAATAAACATATAAATGGCAAACAAATTCTTAAACTGTATATTTCAGTTAAATTCCAATTTACAGAAATAATGTAAACCTTCCTTCTTGCAGATACCCACATGCTACCCATCATGCCCTTTGTACGGCCTTGTAGCTGCTTGCGCCTCACAGAACTACTACTGGGTTCCAGCTCTGCCTCCCAACATCACCCACCTCTACCTGGAGTTTAACTACATCAGTGTGATCAACAGCAGCTCGCTCCGAGACTATGACCAGCTGCAACAGTTAGATCTTGGAATGCAGAAGGTGCCGCTCGTCATAAGAAACAACGCTTTCCTCAGGCAGACAAAATTGACACGGTTGGTCCTAGGCTCTAATATCGGCCTTCAGCTGGAGCCAAGGGCATTTGCAGGACTGTTCAATTTACAGCACCTCTTTTTGGATTATTGCAATTTGTCAGACTCCATACTGGAGGACAACTATCTGCAGCCGCTGTTGTCCTTAGAATTGCTTGATCTCTTTGGTAACAAAATTGTGAGACTCCGACCTGGAATGTTCTTTTCAGAACTCACAAAGTTCACACAGCTGAACCTTAAATTAAATCAGATCGAAAGGTTATGTGAAGAGGATCTTGTTGGTTTCCGCGGTAAATACTTCACATTCCTTAGCTTGCACTCCAATCACTTATACCACACAGACAGTGGAGAGTTTGACTGGGAAAGATGTGGTAACCCTTTCAAATGGATGGGCTTTGAAAGACTTGACTTATCCAGCAGTGGGTTCAGCCTGGACACATCAAGACAGTTTTTTAAAGCGATAGAGGGGACTCCAATTGCTCATCTTATATTCTCTGGACACCTGGGAAAAGGCTTTTCACACGACAACCTCCCCGATCCAGATGAAAGAACATTCGAAGGCCTCGTCAGCAGTGCGGTTAAAATTTTAGATCTGTCTAGAAATTTTATATTTGCTTTGCAGAGGGCTGTTTTTAGTCCTCTAAACGATGCAATGATTATTGACCTTTCCAAAAACAAAATCAATCAGATTAACAGAAATGCCTTCAACGGTCTTCAAGGACATTTACGACTGCTCAACCTGTCATCCAACCTCCTTGGAGAAATATATTCTTACACATTCACCAATCTGACAGACCTTAGGGTGTTGGATTTGTCTTACAACCACATTGGTGCATTGGGATACAAAGCGTTCAGTGGTCTTCCCAAATTACGAGCGCTATATCTGACAGGAAACTCGCTGAGAGACTTGGGCTTTCCCGAGTCATTACCAAACTTAGAGTTTCTTCTTTTGGGTGACAATAAGCTGCAGTCACTTTTCAGTATCATTGATTTTGGAAAGAGCAGTATCCATGTGGACGTTGCAGACAACAGATTAAACAACTTGCGGGAAGTTTATGAAATTGTCTCTAAGTTCAGCAATATCCAGAATTTTTTCTTTGGTGGCAACCTCATCAAGTGGTGCAAACCAAGCCCGAACGTTACATTACCTCCTAATAATAGCTTGCAAGTGCTGGATCTTCATGACAGTTCCCTGCAGTTCATCTGGGCGCAGGGGAACTGCCTCAACCTGTTTGATCATTTTGAGAATCTACTCGGTCTGAATTTGAGCTTCAACTCAATCGCGACTCTCCCACAAGGGATTTTCAGCGGCCTCCGCTCGATCATAGAGATCGACCTCTCATCCAATGTCTTAACCTATCTGCAGCCAGATGTCTTTCCGGTCAGCCTGAGAAGACTAGACCTCTCAAATAACTTCCTAGTGTCCCCAGACCCTAACACTTTTAGGTCACTCAGCATCTTCAGCATGGCGGAAAATCGGTTCCAATGTGATTGCCATCTGGAGAGCTTCCTGGAGTGGCTGAACAGAACGAATGTAACCTTCCTGAGCCCAGTTAAGGAGTACAGATGTGAGTTTCCAGCTGCTCTTCATAACCTCCCTCTGCTCCATTACGCCTCGATCATTGAACCATGTGAGGAAGACGATGAAAAGGCCGTCCAGGATCTTAAGTTTGCTATCTTCATCTTCTCGGCTCTCCTCGCCATCAGCCTCATCCTCAGCGGGATTGTTTATGCCCGTCTCCGAGGGCACATATTCATAATCTACAAAAAGATTGTTGGTAGAGTCCTTGAGGGCCCAAAACCAGTACCTCCTGCAGACGATCTGCAGTACGATGCCTTCTTCTGCTTTAGCGACAGTGACTACGGCTGGGTGGAGGCTGCTTTGCTGAAGAAGCTGGATAACCAGTTTTCAGAGGAGAACATCTTCCGCTGTTGTTTCGAGGCCAGAGACTTCCTGCCAGGTGAGGATCACCTTTCCAACATCAGAGATGCCATCTGGGGCAGCAGGAAGACCGTGTGCATCGTCTCCAAGCAGTTCCTTAAAGGTACAGTTTTTCTGCCGCTGATCTGTAGTAACATGTCTAATGTTACAAAATATTTTGAGAAATATACTAATTCCCTTTCTTGATGAGAACACAAACACTAAGTTAACCTTGTTTTTGCTGAGCTCCAGTGTATTAACTTTTCACCTTGCCGCAGTGACGTACAGGTGTACTCCAGGATTACAGTTGGGTATCTTACAGGTACAACAACAACAAAGCATACATTGACTGAGGTGATTCGGGCTTGAGCTTTCACCCAGAGAGTGTCACAGAACACTGATTTACAGCCTGTTGTTAAGTTACTCTTTAAACATGAAGCAGCTACAGGTTATCTTAGCTTAGCATAAAGACTGGAAACAGGGGAATACAGCTAGCCTGGTTCTGTTTGAAGTTAAAAAAAATAAAAATAAAATATTTATGACATTGCCAAGCTACCAGAGTCTCCAGGAAGTTGCATCACCCAGTCAAGAAATGGTCAAAGAAAACAACCCACACCCACCTGAAACAACAATTTGTTGCTTTTGCACTTGATAAAAAACCTCTGGACAGAGCCAGGCTAGGTGTTTTTCCCTGTTTCCAGTCTTTATGCTAAGCTAAGCTAACCATCTACTGGTCTTAACTTCACATTTAATGAGCAGATATGAGAACTGTATTTTGCTTGTCATCTAACTCTCAAGAAAGCAAGAATGTGAATCAACTATTGATCAACAAACTATTGCTTTAAAAAAACAAGATCCTTACTGCACTCCTCAGTTTCTGAAAGCTGGCGTGCAAGCCAGCACCATGTCCATAGTAAGGCCCCCTGTCTTTTTCATTCTTAATTTTCTCTTTTCTGAATCACAAAATTAATTACCAAATGAAAAATGAAAGAGGTAAAAGAAACTAAGTGGGTTGTGCCTCTTTCTAGATGGTTGGTGCTTAGAGGCGTTCACTTTGGCCCAGGGCCGGATGCTGGAGGAGCTGACAAATGTCCTGATTATGTTGGTGGTGGGGAAGGTGTGTATTAAGCTGCTGAGATACTTTCTTTACCCATTCTCTGGGGATTGCTTAAAATCATATTTAAAAATTTAGCATTTCTATGTGTGGGTAGATGTATGTGATAACCAATATTTTGCCACTTGGGGGCAGTGGAAACTACAAGTTAGCAAGCATTTTAAGGAGAGCAGCATTAGCATTTATCTGGAGTTACCTTGAATAGCCCAATATACAGTACTCTTATTCTCAGTATTCTCTTTTTAGTTCAGGTTCTGGTCTCCTGAGGGAAACATCTGGCTTTTTAGCTGCTATATACTACACTATGTCACCCTGCTAGTCTGTCCTGCTGAATGGTGCTGTAAAGGACAGTGCCAAAATCAAAGCTGTGTGATAATGTAATAATTCTCTCATGGCTCATCACCATAACTGACAACTTTCACATACAAGTAGTCAGGTTATCCATTGTTAAAAACAATAGCTGCTTCAAAGAGTAATCAAACCCCAAACCCAAAGAGATTCAATTAAAATAGCTTTATATGGGCAGAAAACTGGGGCTGTACAATTTTACTGATTTAAAATAGAATTTTAAGTTCTTGACATTCCCTACTAACCTATATCTCCATTTTTTTAAAAACAAAACCTCTCAAGGTGGCTCACTACCAGCTGATGAAATACAACGCTGTCAGAGCTTTTGTCCAGAAGAGAGAGTACCTAATCTGGCCAGAGGACCCCCAGGACCTAGAGTGGTTTTATGAACGTCTCGTCTCACAGATACTCAGTGACACTAAGGTTAAAAAGTTTGCAGAGGACAAAGCTGAGCCTGCACAGCCTGACATTCAAAATCCGAATGAAGACAATGTCCAGCTTGAAAACATCCAAGCAATTACCACGTGAACTCTGACTGCATTGTTAATGAAAACCTACTTCAACCAAGATAACCAACCAAGACCAACATCTACTCCACTGCAGTATCACCCGTAAGCTAGCATTCAGACTCCTGAACAGGATGAGGAAGAAGTTTTCCCATAAAAATGCCAATCCTGGGGTGGGGTTATTTCAAGGTGAAAAGGAAAATGGGCATTAAAAATATTCAGAGGAAGTAAAGCAAATATGCTTCATAGCGGAGTTCTACACAACCAGTTGATTCTGCTCTTTGTGTTTAAATATATTTGTGCATTTGAGTGATTTGTGGCACAGTGTTAAATCAACTTATAATTCCTTTTCTTATTATTTTTCTGTTTTGATATGTACAGTACAAAGAAATTGTGTTATTATGTCAATGGTATAAAATGTTAGTTAGTGTGATGTGTCCAATTACCCAGGTGTAGTAGTAGTAGTAGTAGTAGTAGTAGTAGTAATAATAATAATGTGTGGTTAGGATTTGCTAGTCAATTGTTCTCAGTGATATCAGATGTTGGTGCAAATGCATACACTACTCAGCCTAATAGCTTGCAGGATGAAGCAAGTTCCCAGCACGGTGAATTAATTAACTGAAGAAGCCTTTGAAATTCCTGAGTTTTTAAGGTTATTACTGTTTAGGTAGTGTAAATCACTTCTCAATGTGTATCTTTTATTTTCATGTTTGCAAAACAATTTTTGCAAAACATTTTAAAGTCCACTCAATGGGATTCTTTGCTCCAAAACCAAACTAACGTCTACCTTTGGGGTTGATTTATCCAGTTTAAACCTCAGTTTGAATGATTTTATTCATCACAAATGCAGTGGTCTTTTTTTTTTTTTTTTTTTTTTTTTTTTTTAAATGATGTAATTCTTTATTTTAAACGAAACGGGATTAAACCTCCAAAAAATAAGGAAAAAGGCATGGGGTGATTATTCACGTGCCTCATTGGGAAAATTTATGAAGGATCGCTTTGGATTTTTATTTACAATTTTCACCACTAGATGGCGATCTGTTATTACTGACTCGTCATGTCAGGCTTGAGTGATCAGGGAAAACCCAGAGCTTTAATAAGTGAGAGTTCAGTGAAAACCACATCAAGGCTGTTTATAATTGCACTGGGTTTGTCACAATTAATGAGAATTAATGGCTATTTTATCTGCATATGATGCCCTCTCTCTAAGCACTTGGGTTTTCTGGACTGTAAGATGTGAGTGAATCTGAGGTCAGCCGATTTCCTTTCATTTGAGCTGTGTGTCTGAAAACAGGAAGCTACTGGGCAGAGGAAAGCTTCCGTTCTGTTGGCCCCGGCCGCCTGTATCCTCCCAGCCTTTATGAGCCAGCTGTTCTGAACATTACAGCCTGTCTGCAGGCTCCTGCTGCTTATACACTGTGGACAGTCCATTATTCTGAACACAGTGCGACATTAACATCTGTCTGACCTGCTGTTATTGTGCAGTTGTTTTTATTTTCTGGGGTTGTTAACAGGTGTTGAACTTGAAAATACTGTTAGTACCCCCAAAATGTGGTGGGTATAATTTGGATGTGCATAGATGAACTTGCGATAAGCCCTCTACTATTCTGAAGTAGACAGCCTGACAGCTAGGATTGATAAATATAAAGCCCAGAAGCAACAAAAGGCAGTAATAGATTATCAGATGATTCCAAAAATATAACTGAATACATCAATAAATAATACTTTTGGATACATCAATAAAATGGACTGTAAAAAGAAATATGTCTTTCCCCTTAAAGGTACAGTGTGTATAAAGTGAGACCACTCTCCCCCCTGTTGAATTCATACACTAAAAAATTAGGAGGCAGCATAACACATAATCAGCTCAGTTAGCTGTGGAGCTAACTTAGCGGTTCTATTAGCTGACTGAGCCCAGATAATAAAATTTACAATATTAATATCAATAATAATAATAACTATTTGTATAGCACTTTTCAGTACAGATAAGTTGCTTTACTGCTCTTCGATTAAGTTGGTGTCACACAGTGGTGTACAACAAAAAAATATACTGTATGTAACATAAAACAAGTCATTATAAAATGAATGGGCTGGAAGAAGTTTATTTAAGGAAAAATAAATGTTGCACACAGTGGTTTATAGTTAATAAATCAATAAAACAAGTTAATATACAAATAATGGAAAATTAAATATGCATTACATGTTTTTTTGTGGGAATGTGTCTTAATGCAGCAGATGGGGTTTCCTTCCTTTTAGTCTAGTGTTTCAAACAATACTTTTGGGTTTGAGGTATTCTGAGCGATCTGGGTGGAAAAGTAATTTGTTTGTGTATCTCATGTTAAAACCTCTGCTAACTTGAATGGGGATATAAAAAACATTATTGGCAGCTCTTCCAGACTTTCCAAATGTCGAAATTCTGAGTCATTTCGCAGGGGTAACTCAAAAAAAAGTTCCACCATTTTACAGATGCTTTTTCACAATGTTAGTCTATGGGGAAGTCTTTTGGGGCAAGTGAGCGCACATGACAGACCGGGAAGTTGTAATTCCATGGTTTGGCCACTATGTCAAAATGTCTTCAGCGCACGGCACACGTCCTGGGAGCTTGGCTCAGTGGTGCATGAAGGCGAAAAAATCTGGGTTAAATAATTACCCGGATATTGTGCATAGCTTACGACCCCTCAGGAGGAAGTGCACTAGCATTTCCTTTAACCCCACCTCCCTTGGCAATTAAGGCGGCCCATAAAGCACCAGAGACTTTCACCAGCTGAGCTGGCTAACTTCCAGATTACCCCTCTGTTAATTTGAATGGGGATTAATTGATTTAATCGTGCAGCTCTTCTAGACTTTCTAAATGTTACTGGACTGAAAGGATCAATTTTTCATAGTGAAACGTCATTTCATGTGGGTTGTGACACTCAAAGAAATGTACCATTTTGCAGATGCTTCTTTCACAATGTAACCAGCTTTCACAGCGTCCCATTAGATCACATTTCTACTTCTGATTAGTTAGTACTTGTTGCTTGGGTTGGTTAAGGTTAGGGTTAGCCAATCAGAGGCATAGTAGGGGGCAGGTCAGAGTTGTCAAAATCTGGTGGGGAAGAAATTATGTGGTCTACACTTCTGATAATAAAAATAGGAGTAACAATATTTCCTTTCTTGACATTTTACAAGTTTATTTGGTTTATTTATTAGACTAAAAAAGTGGGGGGAAAAAACTTGTGTAATGTAGCCGCTAGCACACATCTCCCAACTGTACGTACAGTATGGGCCTGGGTTAGCTGGTTAGGATGGTATCTTCTGTAGATATCTCTGCAACACAATACATACGTCTTTGGCCTAACATTAGAACTACTACTTCACATTCTGGTGATAATGTTTTTTTTATGTTTTAAGCTAAAATCTTGGCCATTTCTTACTCACTGAACCTTTAACCCCTAAACTTAATTTCTGGAGCGGTCCTGTTTTTGGATCTTGCACAAATTTAATCAGTTCTCTGTTTTCACGAAATAACTGTTTTCCTACACACATTTCCAATTTTATTAATGCCTATGATAACGAGATAGGCGAAATCTAGGACTATGTTTAGCTAGCATAACTAAAAATGCGGGTGGCAAAACACACCACAGCACCAACCTTTTCAGCTAGCTACCTAGCTGTAGCAAAATTTCATGATAAACCTACAACAGCCAGTTCAGTTAAGTTTATCATCCATACATTATATACTGCATAACCCGCTGCAATCACTGGGGGAACAGTGAAGCATTTTTGCCACCAAGCTAACTCAAGCTAACTTTATGGTAAGGCTTCTTTAGTTTTAAGGTTTAAGTTTATTTAGTAAAGGATACATTTAATTACACTTAATTTATAAAATGTGAAAACTAACAGTAACACTCAGTAAGGATTAGCAAGGTTTCTGAAACCAGGACACTCCAAAAAACCGGAACATAACCAGGATACTAGTGTACAATCTTTGTCTTGGACATGTATGGACAACCCCATCTCATCATCATATAACCTGTAGGAAGATGGGAAACCTGGTGAGAAAAATACAAAATAGATAATCAGTGCCAAGACCAAAAAATGACAACTCAAAATAATTAACTGATAAAACTGGTAAAAAAGAAAAAGCAGTAAGATTAATATTTATTTAGATTACATTTAAATTATTACTATTTATAATAAGTTAAATATGTTTGACTCCTGTGATTTACTGCCTTTTGTCAGTTTTGGGGGTCCATAGATAAAAACAAAAAACACTCTGTTTCTCCAATACTCAAACAAGAAAGAAGGAAAACCTGTCTTACTTCCATAAATCTGGACCAGCCCAGCAGCTCCACCAAAATCTAATTTGAAAAGTGAAAGCAAATGTTTACCGTGTAAACAAGCTCTCCAGCTCCGCGGCCTCTTCACAGTTATTTCAGGCCTGCAGAATATACTTAGAACAGACACACAGGCTTCTGAGATTCTCCCTCGCAGGGAAATGTCATAAACCCTGCCCCATGGCCATAGCTAATATTTGACCTCTGTTTAAGCATATATGATTATGGGGATGCTCACGCAAGCCTGAGGAGGGATCCTCAGAGGGAAGTGGACTCATCTTCACTGCACTGATTGAGAGGAGGAGGAGAATAAAGGGAACCATGGGAGATCTGAGGCGGAGGGTAACACAAACTGATGTGTATGAGCCAAAAACAGATCTTTCCTTCAACATAGAAGCATCAGCCAAGCCCAGTGTGGGTGGTTTACTTACGTAATGTGTTTTACAACGCTTGTTTGTTTGTGGAAGTTTGTTCTGGGGTTAAGGGGCGTGACAGGGATGAGAGGAAAGCATAGTGGTACTTTTCCTTCCTTCTCTCTGGCACCATCAGCCTGCCAGGAGTGAAATGTTCTCAAGCTAGAGGAGCATTTGTGGATCATCCACCCATTTTCCTACTGCTTTTCTGGTTGTGGTGGAAAGTAGCATTTTACATAGAAACCGATGCCTTTTGATGAGTTAATCATGTTTCCACAGAAGCGTCCCTCTGCGACCACAAAGTGATGCGTCTGGGACGCAAAATAAAACAGTAAATCTGAGATGTCAGAGCAGCCCCTTGAAGATAGTGAGAAAAAGATTGGGTTTGAAACTCCACATCAAAAGCGCTGCAGCGAAATGTGGGATCTCTGCAGTAACTGTTAGCTGGATTTTGACAATCCAGCTAAAAAAGAAAGAACGAGGGAACGAAAAAGACTAAGGTCGAGCCAAAAAGAGATGACTAACTTTAGTTTGGTGCTTCAGTAGGAATTCCCCTGTCCCCAAAACACAGCTCCAACCCGCTGAGGAACTTACTGAGAGCACCAGCCTCCACTTTCTACACTGGAGGAAAGACAGGGAGCAGAAAGACGATCTTTTCCCAACTGACCTCTGAGGAAACAGGTGTTTTCTGTACTTGGTTGGATTGGATTTAGTAGCAGGAAGAACGAGGGAGAGCGAGGTTTAAGGGGTCATGGAAGGAAGGAGGGATAATATGTCTACATCTGTCACCTGTTTAGAGGGACAGCTCAATGAGGGAAAGACACTTTAAAGCTCTGTATAGCTGAGGTTCATTGCTACAAGAAACTCTTCACATGTGCATAATAATTAAATCCATGTTTTTAGGAACATATTGATTATAGCTGCTTGAACACTGAATGTAAAAAGCCTCTGTTCTCCTTTAGAATTGTTTGGAGAACACAAATACACAAGCTGCAGTCTTAAATAGGTTCTACTTTCTGGACATATTACAAAAGAGTAACTCATCAAAATATATATTTGTTAGACAGGCAGTGTCGTCACCCTGTAATTAACATCTGCCTCAGCAGGCCTGAAAGTTAAGAGCACTTTTGTAGTTGATGTACCGCAGCACACAACACAAACTATCTATTAACCCGGTTCCTAAAATTATTTTATAATTAACGGTTTTATATCTTTATGCAATTCCCAAAGCCAAACTTAAAACAGTTCCTGAACTCAAATGCTATAGATTGACTTGTAGAGAATTTAAGAGTAATAAAATCTGATTATTATTCTTCTAAACCAAGTCTACATGAGCATAAAGAGAAGGAAGCCTGGCCCACTTTAAATCCAGTCAGTGACCTCAGGCCAGATGTAACAGATAGCAGTGAAGGCGCCAGCAGTTAGGAGACAATGAAACAGGTGTACACCGTTATGATTAAAGATACACCGTCTTCTTGCAACAGAGCCTCATATCATTTTATGGTCTGAGCATGTGTGTATACAAAAGATAGGAAGAACAAACAATAAGCGACTGCAGGACCAAAGTGATTTAAAAAAAAAAGACATTTTAATCATACAGTACAGCTTTTATCTGAGGCATGTGGCCACTTGAACACAAGAGCACACTGAGAATTTAACACAAGCTCCCACGAATACAAAATGTGTCAGGCAATGACCTTTTCAGCTTGTAAAATGTGGCACATTTTTGTTACAGGTTGACATGATCATATCTGACAACATATACTGATAATTACACACAATATCACAATATAGATACTGTACGATTTCGGTGCAAATGGCTGCTGTATGAGTATAATACTAAAGTTAGCAAAAGTTCATGGAGTTGCTGTTGTGAAAAGACAATTTCCCATAATGATAATAGTTAACAACAGCATGTGTTTCACTGTAAAATCATATGGCACGTGAAGACTTGGTGATTACAAAAACAGAATGTAAACAGAATATATTTAGTGGGTCTGTCCTGTTTTATTAAACAAATTGAGGCACTTGGTCAACAAATACATCACAAACCTTGTTTGATTGCAGAGAGATATTGTATGTGTCTTTCCTTTTTTTGGACATTTGCCATTTGTTCTGGATTGAGCTTTAATTAAAACATCAATTAATCATCAACATAAGCTTTCAGAAGAGGGATTCGTCTTTATTGCTATAGGAGGCACGCTGGTTTCAGTTTTTGGTACGTTAAACTCTGAAGCTGAATTGCACTTCACTTTCAACGTCCTGTTAAAACAGTAGAGCTTCTTTGGAGAGGCAGAGGACGCCCGCTGTCTTTTGGAGTTCTGCTTCCACTTTTTGACACTTTCCTCCCGTGTGACGGGAACACTTTCGAGCTTCTCCTGGTTGCCAGGGATTTTACAACAAGCATCCATTCGTGTTGTTGTATCTGTTGTTGTGGTGGGCACACCGTTTTCACCACAACAATGATCACTGTCTCTTGCCTCCTGTCTTTCATGATTTGTTGCGTGTGGTGAGCCCAGTGAGCAGGAGGGGCACTGAGTCTGCGCTTGTGTCGAGGTTGGGGCACTGATATTTTGGCTACTCATTTCACGTGTATGATCATCCTCGTGTCCCACAGGCTCTGAGCCAGTAACTGAACCAGGAGCTGGGCCTGTGTCCTGGTTCAAAGCTGTGGTGGTGGATCGCTGTTCTCTGGCTGAACCAGCCTGCAGACTCGCAGTGTGGACACAGTACTTCCTGAGATGGCAGCTGTGGGCAGGTCCTTGCCTGGGGGCCACTACTCGTCCAGGGGAGCAGGGGTGGAAATGGGCAGGAGGACAGTGGACATAGTGCATACGGCACTCCGTGTGTGTGTAGACTGGGTCCAGGTTTGCAGGTAACAGGGCTGCATTTTGTTTGCTCTGGGTGTTTCCTGAGAGGGGGAAGAGCTGAGGGGTGGTAGGGCGGGAAGGAGAGTCCTGGGGAGGCTGAGCACAGGAGTGGGGAGTCCACTGCTGAGGCAGGTGAGGAGGAGGAGGGTCCCCACATGTGCAGTTAGTGTTCTGAGAGTACTGGCACCTGGATGGTGTGCTCAGCGCGGCTACAAGCCCATTCTCAGGGCCACTTCTCGCAGTCTCAGTTTTGCTCTTATAATGGATGTGTGAATAAGGGGCAGTGTGGTGGTGAGGACGGACTCCATTATAAAGCGGAGCACACACCTCCTGCTCCTCTCTGGGTTTGTCTTCAGTTTTCTGACTGGATGCCAACGGCTCTAACTCATAATGCTCCACCTCCCCACCCCTGCTGTCCAGCTGGTACTTCCCCAGGCCAGAGCCTTTCCCATGAGTTGAGGGGTTCATAGATGTGACCTCAGAGAACACCTGACACTGCAGCTTTTTGGGCAGGGGGATCTGGCCACAGGTCCCCTGGGGTCCCA